TGAAATGTCTGTCCTTGTAATAGGCAACCACAAGGGGACATAATGGTGAGTCTGATTGGTCCACAGGGATACTGCTCGATCTGTCTTTGCTGATAGGATGGCATGTTTTTACTGTTGTCTTGTTAATTACACATTGATGTCATCGTGTATGTCAGCAGACAGCCGATGTACAGTTGATTGTCATCTTGCTATAGAGATACAAGTTAATGTTTCCGCAGTTTAGAAAACATCAAACATCTAAGGTGGATACACAAGGTCACATCGAAAAAGTAACAAATTCTTTTGATGTGCAGAGCATAAAGGAGGAATTTACCATGATCACAGAGTGCAAATTTCAACCTCTATGATTCTTACAAATGTCCTCCACCCACATCTGGACAGAGCTACTGATTTCCCTGTGGTCCATCACAGGGGAAGAAGTAGAGCTGGTTGTTCACACATGACCTCTGACCTGCCACTGCGGAGCCAATGGGGGAGCAGCCTGTGTCTTGGGAGCTCTTGCCCTCTGATGTGATGGCTCCAGGCAGTGGGCTTTGCGTGAACCCATCCCCCATGGTACCCCTCGCCACTAGATCCTCTGCATTATTCATACAGCCTCGAATGGGGTGGGGAGAGAAACAGAATATGGAAAAGGAAGCACCAAGGTTCAAGACCTTCTCAGATCACAAGGAACTTCTGCTTAACCTCCCTTGAAGTGGCGAACACAGGGATAGAGCAGTTTTTTTTAAGGAACTGGATCTGAAAGCAGGACTGGAGATCAATGGGGATTCCCTCGAGGCTTGGTGAAGATCGCATTCACTGCAAGGTGATTGGTGAATCAATGTGGTTCCCATGGTTCACTTTGCCATTGTGAGAACTGATCCTCCCTATTGCAAGTGATACTGTCTTATGATCGGTTGACTTGCTCTTATGTTAATGTTGAACCAGTGTAGTGTCATCCTACACAGACTGTACATAACACATAAATTGTACACGGAAATGTAACTAGAGAAGCTATATGACACAACCTCTCTGTGGGTCATATATCTCCCATTTGATCTACTGTATATAGGAAAAGGACAATACGATTTAATATTTTCTTTTTTTTTCATGTTTGCCTAACATGGCATCTCTCTCTATTGCTTTCCAAAGACACTCAGTCAGTGAGTATGATAGGTGATGATTAGTGAAAAGCATATACATATTAAGCTGTTAATCCCTAATGCACACCATGCAACCTAACAACACTGCACACCCCGGCTCTTAATACAGCCCAGCACATAACCTTCTAATTGCATAATTGCCTGATTTGTTTTAACTGACAGTGGTGCCCTGGCCCATGACAAGGCCATCATTTGCTCATCCTCATTGTCAGCAATTTGCAAGGTGGATACCCCACCACACACCCACTATACCACATCCAGCAGCACAGTATTAGAGACAACCATGAATTAAGAATGCATTGCAGAGGCAGAGAGATGAATAAATACAGCCGTTGCTAGGTTAATTCTGAGAGACATGGAGGAAGGCAGATAAAATAAACTAACAGCAGCAGGCTGTCCACCAGATAAAGTGGGTACTCCATCGTCTCTCTGCTGTAATTATTGGCTAATAGTCATTAACCTGGCAAACAGAGGTTTAGCTGTATTGTTTAAAGGACTCTGGGATGCATAATGACAGACTAATATGTCATAGCACTGGGGGAGATGGGGGAGGGGTGGATTAATGAGATTTTACTGGAGGGAGTGTACAAGAAGAGGTGGGGCACGCCTGGAAAATATAGGGGAAAGAGGGCCACATTAAGCTAATTGGAAGATGAGTGCCTACTTGTAAAAGTGCTTCTAATGGCATATTTGTTTCTCTCACAGCATCACAAGGCTAATGCAGGGGAGTGGAGTTGTGAGACTTACTGTAGTAAGGACTAAAGGGGCATGTGTTTGTCTGAAAATGTGTCAGCTCATACCTTAGATACTCATTCTAATACAATACATACACATTTTTCCTCATCTTTGGTTGTTTATTCATTTTTATGGGGGTTATATGAATTAAACATTTTCGTATGGAGTTTAACATTGCTACTAAAAAATGATACATTGCAAAATATAGTGTTTGCGGTACAGCCATGTATTCAAAGGCTTCTCAGAATAAATAGCAGTAGTAGTTTCCACATGGACTGAAGCTTAATCAAGTTTGTCCCCACATATCCTTTTCTGGACCGATTTGATCCATTTTTGAATTTGTGTTGACTCTGTGCTACAAGCCCAACCCCAGACCAAAATGCTTGTTGACTAGCCTCCAAAACTCAATTGACCAGTGAACGAGGAGTGCTTGGATAGCCTCCTCTCAGACAGGGTCCAGTTAATAGCAGAAGTGCTGACCTGTTCTGACAGCTGGCTGGCCCTTCCTAACACTAATGGGTTGCAGTTTGGCCTGTGTCATTGTGTTTTGGCTTTTGTTCGACTTCATGAGTGGGGAAGTGGAGGCACAGGGTAGGACTAGTAGAGGGTAAAATAAATGTCTAAACGATGTTTGATTCAGTCAAGATGTTGACTTCGGTCAAGCAGTCTTGTTGATGTGTATAACCTTGCAAAGCTTGTGTAGTTTTATTTAATGATATTACTTATAGCTCAAGACTAATTCCTAGAATGTTATTAATGGAACCCTCTTTAAAATTAACTCCTTTTTTGAAGCTTGTGGTTCCTAGGAATGTTATTTCAATCTAAATTTGACAAGCAAACATCAAAGTGGGGCAGTTAGGAAATTTGTGTCTTAAACTGGCTTAAATTTAATTAAATGTGACCTACTAATGATCCCAAAAATGCCGGTACTCTCTCCTGCTATTTACTGCTTTTGAAACAGAGACGCATTTCATTAGAATAATACACTTTTGCATTTAGAATTTTTCATACTTCTAATCAGACTTGCGATTGTAAAAACGTCATTTAATCTTTTTTGTCACTAGAAAATATTAAAAGACTGATTCACTTCATAGAACTACAGTTTATAAAGAAATGTGTTTGTGGAACTATTTAAAGATTCACTTTCTAATTTGCTTTCATTTTTTTGTTTCAATTAAATCAAATGGAAGTACTAATGCCCAGATGGCCATGCAGTATGAAATAATAGTGCCCAGGCTAGAATTTAAAGTCATACCTCCAGGCAAAAACTCCAGAGCACACACAGAATGAAAGTGTAAAATGTTTTTTAATGTATATTTAACAACAAATACCCCAGTGACTATTGATGTTTCGTCTCAGAAGAATCTATTTCTCCAGTATATCTGAGGGCATGATATGAAACCACTCACACTTTTATTTTCTCTGTTTTTCTGCTCTTCTTCCTCTGTGTCTCTCCCGTACTATCTCTCTTTCACTGTCTCTCTTTAAACATTTATCTTCTGTTTTCTCCTTACAGGCCCTTTGTGCTTTGTGATGTTGGTTTTTACAGCTTTTACTCACCAGAGATGCCATTTATCTTTTATAGATGCCAGCAGCTAGGAGCACATATGAAATGTTACTATTTCACTGTGACTAATTGTCATCCCTTGCGTTACTCCCTTGATGTCACTTGCGTCTGGTCCCCCTGGAATCTGTGTGTGATATGAAGTATTTACACTATGTCTCTATCTCTTTCCTCTATTTCTTACTTGCTCACGCAAACACTCATACTATACCATCTTATGTAACAACAGCAGTGGCAGCAGTTACTGTCCAAGGATCATTTTGTTAAGAGTTTTGTCATAAGTGCTACGAAGCAGGGAGGGATATGGGTTCATACAAGAGGACAAGAGGACTGGGTCAATCATTTATTGCCTCAAACTCAGTGGCTCAACCACAAAGTAAATTCTCAGGCTTTGCCAAGATTATTTTCCCAGAATCCCTTGCCATATCCTGATGTTTGATAATGTTCACTTTTGCAGGGAGACTAAGCTTTTTATTTTTCAGCCGTTAATAGCACATCTCTGAAAGACACTAGCCAAGTAAAGTGTTCTATTTGGAATAATGTCAAAGTCCCATCAGAGTAGCTCTGGTCTCTTAGGATGAAAACCTGTTTCTAATCATTTCCAAGCCTCAAAAAATACAGGAACTGGCCATGGGCTATTATAAATTATCTATTGTTAATATTTGTTATTTTACATTTATGTCCCTTCAAATAGGTAGCCACAGTCAACTAAAAATGCATCATCGGTTGACTGTCTCCTAAATGACATGGTCATTTATTATATTTAAAGTGAAACAGATGGTTAAATCTTTTAAATTTGATTAATATATAAGGTAACACAGGTTATGTGTCCTAACATAAAAGCATGATGACTATACAGCCTACCAAATGAAAGGAACACATGCTTAATGCCACTGTTAAGGCACTCAAATACATCCTTAAATAGAAATTTGTTTTTCACACTGAATGTCTAAAGCCATTCCCTGATACATAGTGTAGCAGTCCCATGTTCCCCCGAGCATTTCACTGCCTACACACTGAGAAAAATGCCTACCAACCAAGGTGCGATTAGTAGCTTGCATTAATTATTCTATTATTTGTGTTAGCCATTTTTTTTCTCTGGCTCACGCCATTTTGTAAATATCCCTAGGTATAGTTTGTATACAGAGGGAGTCCCTGCAAGAGTTCACATCTTTTACAAAGCTTTTTTTGTCAGTCTCACAGATTAACATCCCTACAGTGTTGGAAGTCGCAGAGACCTGCTAATCGCCCCACCTCAGTGCTTTTGATTTGTTTGCTTGAGACTGAATTAAACTCTTGCCTACTCTCATCAGTGTGTGATTAATGATCACATTCGCAGGGCTGATTTATTGAAATAAAAATAAACAAGCGATAGTGGAAGAGGGTGGGGGAGGCTTCGACAAAGCTTTGTCAGTTACTTGTTGGTCCAGGAGCCTCTGGATTTCATGAGCATAAAAATCTGCCCTTTCAAACTCTGTCTTCTGCTTTGACCACACTGATTATGCACAATCAATAATGGTTTGTATTTTGTCTTCTCTTGTCTCTTCTGGGGCATCTAGGATGCTGCAGGCAAGGTGCTGGACCGCTGGACCATCATGTCCCGAGAAGAGGAGATCATCACCCTGCAGCAGTTCCTGCGCTTTGGTGAGACTAAGTCTATTGTAGAGCTGATGGCCATTCAGGAGAAGGAAGGTCAGGCAGTTACAGTTCCCTCCTCCAAGACAGACTCCGGGATTAGGACATTCATTGAAAGTAACAACCGAACCCGCAGCCCCGGGCTTCTGACACACCTGGAAAACAGTAGCCCATCAAGCATTCACCATTTCGAGAATATCCCCAACAGCTTAGCTTTCCTCCTGCCCTTCCAGTACATCAACCCAGTCTCCGCCCCCATGCTTGGATTGCCCCCCAATGGCCTGCCTATGGAGCAGTCTGCTCTCCGGCTCCGGGAGCCCAGCCTGCCAAACCAAGGTGAACAGGTGGATACCAGTGAGTCAGAAGTGTCCCTGTCACCATTCCGTACAGGCCAGAGCCCTAGCCGTGGAGCCCTGGGAGCCATGAACAACAACATTGAACCCAAGACAGAGCCCAACAACAGAGCATCACCCATCTCTCCAACCCCCTCTACCCAGCAGGCTCAACAACAGCAGCAACAGCAGTCACAGCTCCAGCAACAACAGCAGCAGGGCCAACAGCAGTCCCAAAATCAGCCTCAGCAAACCAACAGCTTGAGTGACCACCAGGTCCACCACCACTTTGTAAAGGACGAGCATGCTAAAACCATCACCCATGCTTCCTTTTCCTCCAAAATGCACCGCATGCGCCGCATGGGATCAACCTCACGCAAGGGTCGTGTGTGCTGCAACTCTTGTGGCAAAACCTTTTATGACAAAGGCACACTTAAGATACATTATAATGCTGTACACCTGAAGATTAAACACCGTTGCACCATTGAGGGCTGCAATATGGTCTTCAGCTCACTACGCAGCCGAAACCGCCACAGTGCCAATCCCAATCCACGGTTGCACATGCCCATGCTGCGCAATAACCGCGACAAGGACCTCATCCGTGCCAATTCAACCCCTGGGACACCTGTCATCTCAAGCACCAAGAACGGTGGCTTCACACTCACCAGCCCTGGAAGGCCACCACTTGGTTTCACTACTCCACCAGTAGACCCTATGCTTCAGTCACCCCTGCAAAGCCCACTGGTGTTCCCCACCCTGAAGTCGGTGCAGCCAGTCCAGCCAGTGCCCCCATTCTACCGTACACTACTGTCCCCTGCTGATCTTGTCAGTCCTCCAGTGTCACTGCCCACCAGCCCCATCCTGCCCACCACCACCAACAGTACCACCCTGATGGACCAACAACAGCAGATCCTGGCTGCTGCAGCGGCGGCTTCACACAACAATATTCATATGTCAGAGGCCGGACCCATGTCCCACCGCTTACATACACATAATGCCAATCACGACCACACCACTGGCATCATAGACCCCACGCCCAAAAAGAAGCCTCGTAAATCTAGCATGCCAGTGAAGATTGAGAAGGAAGTAATTGATGTAGCAGATGAATACGATGACAAAGATGATGATGACGATGACCTCCACCATAATCACCATCATCACCAGTCATCCCTTCTTCACAACAATGTCAAAATGAACGGTAACTGTAACAGCAACAACAATAGCGGAAATGGTAATGGGAATCACAGTGGTGGAAGTGGGCAGCAATCCCCTTCCCAGGATGAGATGAGCCCTGGCTTAGCTCTAAGAGGCATGATGAGACAGAGTGAAGATGAATGTAGGGAAGGGACTGGTAGTGACAGCAGGGGTGGAAATGATCTTCAAGGCTCTGGTGAGCTACGTTGTATGGACAGCTTCACCTCTGAGGACCAGGACCATGAGAGAGACTTTGAGAATGAGTCTGAAACCTCTGATTCCAAGATGTTCTACCGTGATGAGCTGATAGATGTGGAGGAACAGCAAAAACACATCAGGGGCGGAAGGGGTCTAGACAAGGAACAGGAAGATGAGGGTGGTGAGGAAGCCCATTTGAGAAAGGAAATGGAAGGCAAGGGTCATTCCTCACCCTCCCCTCATCTGCCCCCTATCAAGATCAAGGAGGAACTCAACGATCCTACTTATGACATGTTCTGCATGGGCCAGTATGGCCTCTATAATGGAGGCATGGCCGCCGCTGCTGCCGCTGCTGCAAGCATGGCTGCTCTGCACGAGAGCTTCATCTCTTCAATGAGCTATGGTGCCAGCCCACCCAAATTCCCTTCTTCTCAATCACCAGAGGGAGACCCATGCTCAAGTCCTGACCCCAAGATCTGCTATGTGTGTAAGAAGAACTTCAAGAGCTCCTATAGCATGAAACTGCACTACAAGAATGTGCACCTCAAAGAGATGCATGTGTGCACTGTGGCTGGCTGCAACGCTGCCTTCCCTTCCCGGAGGAGCCGAGACAGGTTAGTTCTATAACTTGGTAATGTAACCATTTTATTTCAATGTAATTGCGACAGTCGCAGGTAGGTTCAATGGAAATGTTTACTTCAATCTATATCATCTATTATAATCTAAATTATAACAATACATAAATCTACAGAATATACTATTTTTTTGTAAGAATATAGCAGTTTTGTAAAAGCGATGTTACAACATAATTCAACAGAAATATGCCTTTTCATTTCATGTTAATAAAACAAGATTTAGATGCAGTATTTCATTACTGTATGACATTTACCTGGATAGGCTATCACTTAACATCTGTTCGCTAATTCAACACTAAATTGATTCTGGGACATCTGCTCCTTGTCAAGTCAAAGTTCAGAAGAGTAGGGTGTCAGGATGAGAAACACATTCACACACATTCAAGCAAGCACTAGGTCGTATCCATCAACCCTGCAGCTGCAGTGTGTTGTTTACCTGCCCTCAGAACCTCACCTTGTCACAGGAAAGTGAAGGCGCATATATTAACATAGACAGCGGTTTGTCAAACCACTGCATTCATTAGCGCATTAGGAGGTGAGGCTAGCCATACTCACCTGGGCTTGTTAGCACGTATCAGTCCCACACACTCACTCTGCAGAATACATATACTGATGCAGCAGTGGCAGCAGGTTGATGCCATAACATGTGCTGGAGGTACAAAAGATCACTAGTGCCCAGAGCTACCACTGGTTCGTAAAGGGATTAAAAACAACTGTGTTTTGCATCATGGAGGTACTCGTAAATGTAAAATTGGCCAGAATAATCCTTTGAATATAGCTATTAATAATATTCAGCATTATAATTACTGTTTTTAGAGGAATAAAATATATATCAAACATATATATCAAACAGTTGTGTGTAAATTCACATTTCAGGTTTGGTGACACATTCCCTTGCCAGTCATTTAAACAACCATGGTCACCTGTCCAAGTTATCTAGTCACTAAACACAGCGTGGACATAGTGTAAATTTGTAAATTCCCTTCCACCCCTCTAAAATACAAAGCTATACACACACACACACACACACACAGACACACACACACACACACACACTCACACACACATTATATATATATATATTGCTGCCTCCTGCTAGTTCCCTCCACCCGAACTCCCTGCTCCTTTTCCACCCCAAGTCTTTTATTACATTTGCTGTTTCGGTGGCATCTGTTCCTACCACTGTTTGTTCATTAGCAGCATGTAAATAGAGCTGGTGATTCTGGGACTCTATTAGAATGAATGTGGAGGGGAACAGGGGGGAGCAGAACAAGAGACAAGTTAGCGTTAGTGAAGGTGCAACCCTGCTGCTCACCTGATGCAGCTGTGCCGACAGCAGCAAGATGACAAGACGTGTTATAATAGCATGCATTGCCTCAGTGTGGTGTACTGCCACCGGTGAGTTTGTTATCTCCCCTCTTTTGACACAAATTTAGGAATAGTGTGCGCCTAAGGCATGACTGGCCTGCTGTGTAACATGGGCATGCATACGTATGCACACTCACTTGCACACACACATAGATGCAAACACACAGGGACATGTACAAATAGATAAGATAGATAGATAGATAGATAAAACTATTTGTATACACCATATCTCTTTGTAATTAGTCTCTTAATGCTGTTGTTAAGAGTTGTTGGATATAAACAATTAACTGCCTTATCTGAACTTTAAAATAGCAGGAAGATAGTTAATAGGAGAAGTTAATATGATAAAAAAATTTCATTGGTAGATAGGAATTACAGCTAAGAGTAAAGTGCCATTGGTAATCTTCAGATATTGCTCAGATTTTAAGGTGGATACTGTGAATCAGAAAATTAAATTCCTACAGCTGCCCCAATTTTTTGTCAGTTATGTAATTTAGTGCCCTCATCCTGGAATCTGCTGTCATGACCCCATAACGACAAAACTAAATGAAGCAGTAAGAAGAAAGAAATAATCATCAGAATAAAAGAGGGGGAAAGGATGGTGTGAGGAAGCTGCATTTTCACAAATATGAAGCTGGGTGTTTGGTATCAAAGCCAGGGGTGAGTGGAGTGCTTTAGACAGGAACAGAGGGTTCAAAGACTAGACTGCATTGCATAGAGAAAGGGTAAAACCTTAGCATGAACTCTTCCTATACTCGCTCTCTTCCTGTATCAGCTGGGATGTGTTTGTGTGTGTGAGTGAGAGAGATGGTTTGACTCCATGATGAGAAAAACACCAGCATATAAATACCATTCAAACACATAAAGTGGCAGAACATATGGGAGATGGAGATAACTTTGTAGCAAGGAGTGACAATTGCTGCTGTGAGCATAATGCATCTTTAATACAGTATAGCTCTGGGTGGGTGAGACCTAAGCACACTATTGTTTCCATACTATCTCTCTGGGGGATAAATTCCTGATAGCATATGGGACATATTACTCTGTTGCTGGTTCAAACAGGGAACAAAACAACAGAAAGAAGGGCATTGCATAGCTAGAGAAACCCTGGGGCTTTGAGACAATTCAATACACAAGCCATGCTTTCATCAAATCTGTCCCTGGATAATCTTCTAATGACATAATGTACGTTTGAGTGTAATGGTAGCAATAAAATGGGAATATAATTTAGTTGTTTTCATAAGAGCATTTGCTCTGATAAGATTAAGAAACTGCACGTAGGAAGACATTTGCACAAAATAATGTTTAGAATGTTTATTAGTAAGAAATTTGATAAGTCAAACTCCATTCTTTCACCAAATAAAATGTTTTTTGCCAGTAATGATTAATAAGCTGCTCTTTCCTGTAGTTCACTTCAGACATAAAAGGGTGATAAAACAAAAGGAATAACTTAAAAGTAATTCTGTTTAAAAAAAATTAAAAGAACCTTTAGAATAAGAACCATGTTGCATTTTAATAAAAGGAAGGTAAAGCAGTGGTTATTTGTTGTTGTTTTTACAGCTGAATAATATATGCTAAAGCAGCTCTATAATACGCAGGCCTGCTTGGCTTCCCTTTCTCAATACCTCCCAAACAGCTGTTGACATCCATCAATAGGGAAGTCCAAGTACCTCTGCATATCTGATTAGTCCATTGACCGAGTGAAAAGCCAAAGGCACGTAAACACACCATCAGACACCAGCATCAAAAGCTCCCGTATCAAAGTGAAGAAGAAAACAGAGGAGAGGTCATTTGATCTACCGAGAAAAACATCCAAGAGCCCATGACATTGTCAGAGTAGGACACGCCATAAATGTGCTGCCACGGGAAAAAAAAAATATCACCAGTGTTTGTTCAGTTTGGATCCCTTCCCTATTAGACTGTAGGATTTCACACACATGCGTACACACAAGAATTAGTGAGCATGAATACTGTACACACACTCAGGAATACAGGAAGGATAATTTAATGTGCCCTTGAGCAAGCATGTAATGTGTGTGTTTTTGAGTGTAAAACAGAGACCAACATAAGAGTGTGCGTATGTGTGGTTTTACAGTGGGGTGTTTTTTCTCCCAGCCGCCTGCCATAAATGATTGCATATTTATTGTGGGGAGTGAGCAGCGTCGGCAGAAGTGTTGAAGAAGCGGCATGATTAACTGCTGGAAAGACGCGCGTACCAGTAATCATCACCATTATTGGCCTCATTAATCATATTTTTTTAAACCGTTGACGAGACTTGCCTTACTTATCTAATTTTTATCAACCTACCCCGCTTCTCTTTTTTCAACCTTCACTCCAGCATTCTAACCTGCTCCTATGTCGCTACAGCAAGTAGGTGTCCTCCCTTTTCCACATTCCCATGGTGCAGCAGTGCGCAGCCCATGGTCCCTGCACGGGCCACTGCAAACGGAGAGAGTGAAGGTTAATTATGTTGGAGAGTCTCTTTCCTCCCCTCTCCTTCCTCTCTCTGTCTCCCTCGCTTTCCCTCGGTCCCCTCACGGCATGTGGGCCCGGCTCCGCTGCTTCACAATCAGCTCTCTGTTTGTCTCTTATAAACAAAGGGTACGCTGCTCATAGAGAGAATACGTTAGCAAAAGCCACTCACCCTAGTTTAAAATATCTGCTGATTAAAATACGGAAACTTGAAATATTACATCCCTTTGGTTTATCGTTGACAGTTTCCTTGTGATGTATTTTGCAAAGAATAAAAAGAATTTTTGTTCTTAGATAAATAACACAAGCACACTGTTTGTAGATAAAAATGTTTTTAATGTGATATTTAAAGCCTATGCACACTATGCTGCTGAACAGACTGAAACAATGAAAAGTATTTATAACAGTGACAGAGAGTGATAAATGCTACAAACACTTGTCTTCCCACTTCCACCTAAAACCTCATAACACACGCCAAATGACAAGACAAAGAACCACTCGCGTCAGTTTAATACCACTCAGCCTTCCATCTTATTTACACATTATGAGTCATTTAGACAACATACACACACATATACACACAAACTTACTGACACAACAACAAGGGCAAGGGCCATCAGATGAACCTAAAGATGATTAATGCCGGCTGGGACAAACATACTCTCACTCTACCTCCTCTGCACAGTGGGCTCTCTAGAGGCCTCCCCCATCTTTTGGGCAAAGATGGGACTGTCAAATTGGTTTGCCAGCCACATTACTGGCCAACAGGGAGGGAGCGATGGAGGAGGGGGGGCGGTGGGGGCACTAAGGAGCTGGGTTTTGGGGAGGAAAGATAGAGCGTACTGAAGTGGACTGATGGAGGTGGAGGGATGGAGGGGAGTGGGAAATGGGGCAGAAAGTCTAAATTTGATAAATGAAGGGATAAGTGCATTATGCCCACCGTGCGTGTGTGTGTGTGTGTGTGTGTGTGTGTGTGTGTGTGTGTGTGGATTCAGCTGACTTATTTTGTTTATTTAGGGCATTGCTAACACAGGAGTTAAATAATAATGTGTGTGCAAATTATCATAAACTGGGCTCTTTTTCTCCTCTTCAGCTTTTGAGATGAAATAATTTCCAAATGGTTAGAAATGATATACCATAAAGTTACCTTTTTCTTCCCTTTATTTTATTTTCATATATCTGTAAAATACACCGAAAGACTGTAGTATTAAATGTTAACATTTTTCATTAGATGTTGTTGTAATATTCTAACAATGTGGTGTGCATTTTGATTATTTAAAGTGGCTACTGTAGCTAATAGCTCAGACTACTTACTGCATGATATTTAGCATGTCTTTAATATCTAAAACTGAGGTAGCCATGGTTAACTTAGAGCTTATTAGCAGTGAGAAGGTGTTGTTATAGAGATGGAGACATGTTGCAAAGGACCTGCCTACCTGAGCATCATCAACAGCATCCTGAACTTCAGGTTTAATTGAGCAAATGTGGCCCCTCTTGATGTCAAAGCCCCTTTTCCCTGCAGAAATTGTGCCCATCTAATTATATATTATATATCACTGATTAAGGCATATTTCTTAAAACACTCAGGCCTCTAACAGGCAAGCATCCACACATGTATTTGACAAGACAGGAATACAGCGCCATAGACATTGAATCATGACTCCCATATTTTAGCCATAAGCTAACACCATATGGGTGCAACTGTACTATCAAAGGATAAAAAAGAACAAAGGATTTATATAGTCCTTTTGATCGAAGTCCCACTATATGGAAGTAGTATATTTTCTGTTCACACACATACACACACGCACAAACAGACAAAAGCAGTGCATGCAGTGACAGCCACGGCCAATCGATTTGCCACGCTCTCTCTCCTCAATGCTGACGATGCTTGAGTGGACGGGCTCCTGGTTGCCTGGTTCACGGAAAAGGGTCCCTCAAATGAATGTATTTTTACCTCTTGCAGGACAATGTCGGATAGGGAAGTAAATAATTAAAGGAAAGGGACCCTTTTTGACTGCATCAACCCTGCCACTGCTGGTAAGCTCTACTATCCATTGTGACTCCATTTTTGCCCGTCCTGCTAAGGATGACCGTTTTCTTTTCTTTTTTTAAGTTTTTGTTTTGTTTTACACACATGTGCCCTCCCTGCATGGAAACCCCTCACATTAAAAGGCACTGAGTGTTTGCATATTATTCTTATTTGATGTAAGTGCTGACCTGATAAGAGAGGAATGGGCCATGTGTATGTCGTATCTGATATCGGTCATTAGTTGCTTAAGTTTCTTTTCTGTGTTATGCAGTTTTGTTGTGACATGTGTGCAGTGGGTCCCCTTGTTTTCCAACTTGGCAACTGTGAAATTGGAGGGAAAAAGCACTGAATTGGATTTTTCAAGCCCATTTCACCTTGCATCCTTTAGCATGGCTTTGTACGCTAACTGAAATCCTCACTAATCGTATCCTGGCTTAAGCATGGCTCTTGTTATTTAGTTTCTTTCATCAGCTGTAGCATACTGTGTGATACAGTTTGCCTTGTGTTTGGGAAAAATGCCCATCTTAATTAAATCCAGGACTACATAAAGACATGTTCATTGAGGTGCTCGATTAAGCCACCTCCAATAGGGAACAAATGCGATAATGCTGTCAGGGCCTAGTGCTAATATGCTATCCAGTTCCCCTCGATTATCACATTACCACAGCTCGAATCAATTGATAAACTCCCATTCAATATGGTGGAGTATTTAATTGAGTCAGAGTCTATTGGATTTGAGGGCTGTGCAGTACAGACATGCTGACAGCGGTAAACACTAGCAGGATGCTCTCTCTCTCTCTCTGTGCGATCTTAGAGCACTTTTTCTGAGGAGAGCTGCAGGGTGAATTTCTGTCTCTGTGTGACTGTGTACCTCAACTGATAGCAATAATTACACATAGTGGTTCTTAGATATTGAGTATTTGTAGCCTGCTACCATTTGACAAAAGTAAGATAAGATTAAAATATGATAAATACACTATTGTAAATACAAATACATGTATTTCAACACAAGCTATTTTTTTTTATCTGATAAGCAATGTATGTTCCTCATACACTGGCAGCATTCTGATTTACAACTCTGACTGTCTCCCCACATTAGGCACAGCTCCAACATCAACCTGCACCGCAAACTGCTGACCAAAGAGCTGGACGACATTGTCCTGGACCCCCAACTCACGCCACTGCCCAAGGACCTGCGAGCCGAGTTACTGGCCAAGATCTACGCCGGGCACCACATGGGCTTGGACCCTATGGCCGGGATGGGCATCGGAGGCGCCAGCCTCGGGCCCACTGGCCTGAACCACAGTGTCCGTTCCCCCATGAGCATCGAGTATCCCCACCACCCTCTCAACCAAAACCTTAAAAACCACCACACCAACGGCTTCTCCCGGGGCCAGCCAGACGAGTACATGGTGTTGGACCTGAGCACCACATCTAGTGTTCAATCCAGCAGCAGTCTCCACTCCTCACATGAGTCAGACGAGGGCAGCGATGAAGGCATCCTATTGGATGACCTGGAGGAGGAGGGAGAAGAGGACGAGGAGGAGGGCAACAGTGAGGGGGAGGACTGCTCCCAGCGCGCCGAGGGGCGGGCTGAAGGGAGGCATCGGGATGAGACTGGAGAACTAAGAGGAGAAGGACATGGTGAGAGGTTGGAACCTTCCTCCTCACCATTCCTCCTTTCGTCCACCGGGGGCAGTAATTGTGGCAGCAGTGGGATCCTCTGCAACATCTGCCACAAAATGTACAGCAACAAAGGGACCCTGCGTGTGCACTACAAGACAGTGCACCTGCGCGAGATGCACAAGTGCAAAATCCCCGGTTGCAACATGGTGTTCAGCTCTGTGCGCAGCCGTAACCGACACTCTCAGAACCCCAACCTCCATAAAAACATGCCCTTCTCTACAATAATAGACTAAATAATGACTTGCTACTCTACCCTGCTGTCAGTCTGCCCGCTCCTCCCTTCATTCCTCATCCTTATTCCTCCTCAAATTAGCTTTTAACCCCAGCCCAGGGCCATCAAATACAAGCTAAATGCCTGTATGCCTCCTGCCCGTCCTCTGTAAGTCATTGTAAGACATTTCTATGTCCCTCTATAAAATTCATTGACTCTAAATACAGTTTATTATTGTGACCTTTGACTTTTCCTTCTTTGGAAGAACAGGATGACGCTCTTGAGCATGGAGTTTACTTTATAACAAAACTCCAGTTGTTTTTTTTCATAAGCCCCTCCATCTTTCCTTTCAAACGTCATCCCCACTTTGTTTTTTATGTCCGTCTCCAAAGAATCTATTCAAACTCTTATTTGTGACTTTGCCTGCAGAAATGATAATATTGAAAAAAAAAAGAAAATCTTCTTGTTGTATTTGTGTAATGATAGCTTTTAAATGAACCCCTTACAAAAGCATGACAGCTTCATTTGTAAATAATGTCCCAAGAGGCTTTTGATGTAAAAGAGTTGTGTTGATGGTTGTTTGCTTCTTTTTTCTCTCTCTTTATGGTTTTATGTTACAGTCCAGTACAATACTTCCAGCTATAGGCAAGACAGAGGTAGCATCTTACTAGCTTGACTCACTTATGTTAGCTTCAAAAACACATTTTAAACTGAGTCCTAGGAAAAAAAAGAATATCATGTGGCTTGTTTTATCTACTTGTTAGATATTCAGAGGTTGCCGGCATGCTTTTTTAGGCTCCTACACTGATATCATTCTCTGTATTTCTATTGATTTTTTTTTGTCTGTTATGTTTATGAGCTTTAGTATACCAATTCAGTTTTTGCACTTTGCATCTATACAAGGGGATGTGTAATATTATTATGAGGACTTTTGCAATGGTAAGTTTAGGTGTTGTTTGGGGTCACTGATGGCTACAGTGCCAAGGGAAATGACAGTACCTTCAAAATACTTGTGCCAGTTTCTTTTTGCACGTGCTCATTTTCGAACACAGTTTGACAACAGAAAACATCTTGAACAAAACCTGAGATCTTCCCCCATTGCTAAACAACGTATCCAGAGAGTGTCTTGCTTCAAAACAAATCCAGGTGTGACTGAATATACATTGCTGTTTCACAAAGACAGAGGAGTTAAATATCGAGTCTCTCTCTCTCTCCCTCTCTCTCTCTCTCTCTCTCTCTCTCTCTCTCTCTCTCTCTCTCTCCTCTTTGTTTAAGGGGTAATTTGTGTATGGTTGCCAATTATGATCACAATAATAACTTCAGAGTTATGGTAGGGGTAATCTGTGTAAAACTCACGTTGGTTCTCACAAAAGGCATCTTAATGAAACATGATTGTCCCATAGATTTGAAAAAAAAAGAGAAAAGAGATGAAAATAGTCCTTCAACTGTGACCAAAACAAAAGTGTTTGCTTAAGCAAAACTCTTTCAGTGTGACATTGTACTTAAATCGTGCCCCATTGGATTAATATGATGCACTTCAGTCTTAAATCTTTTGCTGTGATATTTTCGGTATCGGTTTCCATTGCTGAGTGTCGGCTACAAATGTACTCTATGAAAAGTGTTGCCATTTTGCTGGCTGTTGGTTGCAGCCTTTTTTAATATGTCCATGACTGTCTCACGGTACAAATATTTCCAGTAACTGGGCAAAAGTAGCCAAGGGAAGGGGTATTTATTGGTGGGTGATGTATCTTCATGGAGATGTTTTTGTCCAGTATAAGAATATTTTTTGTAAAAAGACAAAAAATAGAGATTGTTCCTCAGTTTGACTTCTGTTTCAATGTATTAGCAATGCCATGTGTTACTATACAAGGAGATCTTGTCTAACTTGACTGGTGCTACACACAGAGGGAAAAATATGCAGTGTTATGTGGTGTGCTGTACAGTATTCACAATACCCTACATCCATAACAGTGTTGAGTTCCATTTGTTTCATACTTAAGCCATTTTGCAATATAGACATGACCTATTCTAGTGAAATATTTCACGTCCTCTTTTTTTAAGACTCCACCTATATGACACATGCAGTTTTCAGTCCTCTCTTCTCGGAGATAAAGAGAGTGAGACAGAGAGCTGAGGCTGATGGAAAGGTTGCGGAGGTGGAAGGCTGACTAGGGAGGAAAGGATGACAGCAACGATCATTAAAAATGTGCTGCTTCTCCGTTACCTGGAGGCATCCCTGCCATTCCAGCTTCTTCTGTCTAATAACTCACTTGTCACTTCGTTACACTGCCAGACGCCAAGGTTGCTGACAAGACTGTGACACTGACAGAAAGAGAAAAAGAAGGAAAGAGATTGTGTGCTCTGAACAATTCAATTTGACTCACCCAATTTAGCTGAATTCAATTCATCTATTCATTTTCTATGTGTGCCTATTTTTATTCAGGGTCACTGATAATTCAATTCAATTCAATTCCTTTCTCTCATTCTGCTTTTCTCTTTGTCTGTCAGAGCACAGTCATTTAACAACCGCCTTACCCATTTCTTCAACCCGCCACTCACTTACCACCTCCACACCCCACAGCGCAGGTCCTACAGGGACACACACTAATAGTGTATGCTTAAGTTCACCGGACGGCCATGGCATAGGAAAAAGGGATGGGTAATTGCCTGTTTATCCCAAGTGAAGGGAAAATTGAGTACAGGAACCCCTGCCTTCTCCCAGGAGTGGGTTTCACTGAGGCGCTTGCTGCCTCATTCACTCATTCAATCCCCCCGGCCCTCGCTCTGGCAGAAATAAAAAAAGTGCTACTCGAGGAACCCTGCTGACAGCTGTCTCTCTAACACACAACCATACAAATGCACACACATGCACACAGAGGAGAGTGGCGCACACTCACATATGCTTCCTACTTACAGGCCAGAAGGATGACAAGAACTAGATGACTTGTTAACCTCTAGTGATGGAGGAGACAGGGGCAGAGAAAAATAGAGAGTATTCTCACCACAGGAAATGAAACTCTCCATCTACCATTAACATTATAGCTGCTGCCACGACACAGAAAGCTAACATTCCATTATGGAGATTGGTGTGAGCTAGTATTGAGTCAGACATGAAAAGTCCAAAGCTATTAATATTATTATTTCATTTAAATGTCCTAACATATCTAACAGCTAATGATTTGGACATTTTACCTATAAGGATAGTGGCTAATTAAATACATCTATCAAAAAGGCCAGCAACCTCACAGATTGATTTGACCTCTGTAGAATTAAAAGAGCTGTGCCCAACATATCAAATTAATATAAATGTGCTCTGACCAATAACCTCAGCTTCGATGCCCTTCTTGATCTGAGAAAACCAAGTTTTCTCCTACGGGCTCCGAGTCCTGCACGGTACTGGTCATGCCAGCAGGGCTAAGAGCTGCGAGAGGCTGGAAACAGAGCTGAGAAAACATGCAAACGACTGTCCAGCATAGCCAGGCAGACAGACGGCAGGAGAGAGAGAGCAGGAAGAGATGGTGGAAAGGCATTGGGCTTAGAAAGTGGTCTGGCTGGAGCCTCGCGGCAGTCACTTAACAAGGCAGGGGAGAAAGCGAGGAACACAGGGAGAGGAGAGAGCAAGAGAGCAGCAGGGCCAGGACTCCCCAGGACTCATTGCCAACTTCTTTTTGATTGCCTGCTGGAGAGCGATCGAGCCACCCCTTACATTTCCACCCCTCTCCCCTACACTTTCCTCTCCTCTGAGAAATGACCACCAATTTCCCCCTCTCCTCTGAGAAAACCCCAGAATCCAATCCTTGTCTTTTTTACTTCTCCAACCACACGGGCCCAGGTGCATTCTGCTACCTTGTGACCGGGCCGTGGATCCGCAGGAACGCGCCACTTAGAGCAGCCTCTTTGGCCCAGACCACTGAAGTGAATCTTTAATATTTGATTAGACGAGCGTCAAGCATCAATTATTCTGTAATTCTACATAGCACGCAGAGGGTGAATGGGATGGCAAACGGTTGAAGCGCCTGACCTGTTAACCACTGTCCATTTTGTTCTCGTCACAGAGTGAGTGAGTACAATAGGTGTAAGTAGAGATGTGACACCGCATGCAAACTGTCCAGTTAATGTAGCTTGTGGAACAAAGTGGGATTAAACGATGGGACATCATAAGAAATATGCAGATAGTAGAAAAATACACACATACGTGGGTTTGTATAGATGCTTCAGTCTCATGTGTTATGTTCTAAAAAAAAAAAAAAAACACTCATTAATCTGAACTGGAACCTGTGAAATGTCAATGATCCTGATAAAAAAATTACTGTAAATTCATATAATGTTTTCCATTGTGCCAATTATATTTTACAGTCTTAAAATATAAATAAGCTTGAAGACCTTGTGAATTTAGATTTTTATTTTCACTTGTGTTTTTGTGTATCCAATGCATTTGTGTCTGTGTCTTTAAAAGCCTCCGTTATGGCACTGGCACTCAACAGCGTTGCATGGCTACATAGTCGCACTGCAAAGAACAACACTTTGGTGTCAAAATGGTGATTTGGAAGCCTCATGAATACTGTATGTTACCTAAACAGGTGTTTCCCATTTGCAGACAGGAGGAAAAAAAATGGTCCTCTTTTTAAAAGACTCTTGTTTCTTTTTTTCTTTCTTTTTTGCCTTTCTTGTATTGTTTCTGTATCATAACTCTCTATGGTTTTTGCATAAAATGCATAAGGGTTTTGGGATGTAAATGGAATTTTATTCATATTTTGTCCAAATACCTCTTGTAATTTGTATCAGAATTCTTGTACAATTTTTATATTAAAGATTTATCAGTCACTGGCATTTTGTCATTACATTTTATTTAAGAGGACCTAGACTTATAATCACTGAATTGTGTTATTTGTAAAATTGTATGTAAAATAGCTTGAAACGACTACATTCTCTATAAAGCAGAAAGAAAATTACAGAGCCTGAAAACAATGTGTCAATCAAGCCATTTTAACAAGGCACTGTGATTTCAGCAGGTTTTACTGGGCTCTTTAATTACCCTATGATAAAAATCACTTGGGAAAAGGCTATCTTGACCAATTAGTGGACGATTAGATTAATAGAGTTATTAAAAGATGTACTGGCATGAGGAGAAGGTGCTGCTGGTCTTAGCAAATTAGTAAGATGGTCATTCAAGGAGGGAAACAAAGGACATACAGCACCTTTGTCTGATCATATGCTTAAATTAAATTAAACAGACTACAGAAGAAACTGCTGTATTTTTGGGTGAAAAATATATATTAAAATGTACTTAAAATTGGCTTAATTTGTTTAGTACAACATGCTGAAAAACAGAAATGCCTTTTATAAATGACAACGCTTTTTCATCCCTCTATGAAAGTAATATTTTCATTTATAACTCTACATAAAATTAACATTAACATCTTTGAATATTTACAGAAAAAAAAAAGAGTCAAAGAAAAAAAAACTTAAACAACGGTACAACGATGTGACACCGAAGACAGAAATTGACAACGACAACGGACAAATGCAGGGTCATTTTGCAAAAGCGACCTGTGCTGACATCATTTGCTATGACTGGGGGTCAAATTACAAATTGATATGAGCTCCAGCAGGGATGTCATGTTTGCTCTGGTAACCAACAGGAACATAATGCCTCCTCCCTCCCTTCTGTGAAAGTGAAGGAGTGACAGAGGCCTTGTTGACCTTGAATTAGACACCATTGCTCTTTGTCACACACCAGTTCCTTGATCCCCTGTCATTGTTGATAGCTGCACAACACATGCGCACACACATACACACATATTTAAGAATAATAGAGCTGGATGGTATTGATTATATGCAGGGTTAGTAAAAGATACTCTCACAGATATCCTCAGCCACCCATCTTAAACACACACACACACACACAAACACACACGCGACGATCTCCCACCAGGGAGGCGGTGGGCGCTGTCTGCTACTAGGCTGACCTCCCCGCTACATAACTGAGCGTGTTTCTGACGGCGGCAGGTCATCGATTGGCCTGACAAACACACTGGCCCTCCGCTGACCTTTGAGAAGCAGAACTCTCTGCTGTCGGAGAATACATAGAGACAAACACACAGAGAGAGAGAGATAGCCAGGGCAAGCTTTGTTGTGTCTGAACTGGAAAGGATGCTGCCAGGGGTGGAGAGGTTGACAGGGCAAAGATGTCCATCAGTCCATCTGTCTGTGTATCTGACCTTAGAGTCAGTCCATTGAAGCGCCTTAGTCTGTCAATGGCGTGCTGGATCAGTTTTTAAACCTTGAAGTTTAAATGTTATATTTCAGAATTAGGTTTCCAAAGCAGCGAAGCAAATTGGAATTACATTACAGCAGCGTTTGGTATGGTTGACTTACAATAAGATATCAGTTTGGCTATTCAAGCATTATAAACCTGTGCAGACCAGTGCTTCACAGACAAAAAAAGACAAATCACTACCTCCCATTCACCTTCACATTTACGGGCAAGTGCAATATATAGGACAAATAAATGGGACACAGCTCTCTTTTCCAGCCACACGCAGCAGTGAAACTCAAGCGACTGAGATATGGTTACATGTTAGAGTTTATTTTAAAAATTCAAATGAAAGCCAATGGTGCCTGCAGAGTGTTTCGGTTGCAAATGTCTACAAGTAGCATGTACCGTCTCCAGTTCAACAGACTTGCATGTCTTTTCACTGTGGAAGGAAGCCAGTGCTGTCAGAGAGAACCAATTCCAATGCAGAGAGAACATGCAAATGTCATTCAATAGGGGGCTGAAGATGAATCAAACTGTAAAGTGAAAGTTTTAACTACTTAGACACTGACACAGCATGCCACCCTACGAGACTGTACAATTACACACACACACTGTATATATGTAGTCAAATTGATATATATTTGTTATTTGTAAATCATTTTATGAAATCGGCTGTTTCCATTCTCTTAGCTAGTAAAGCATCAGATATTAGATAATGCTGTTAACCAACTAAAGAAGACAGACACACTATCCATTTCAGACGCAGAACCTATAGATTGATACCATTTTGTCATTACACTTTCTGCTTCTTAAAAGGACTTCAAAAATCAAAAAAGCTATGGTAATATCAAGCGGCAACCTCCATGACTTGCAATTGAAGCCAACAAGGAAGTAACAAAAACTGCAGTAGCTTTAATGGCCACTTGAGGCTGGCAGCAGAAGTGATCAATCTCCACAAGGCCACATATTAAAATGTCCAACTTTAACATTTTTATTAGTGCTGTCAGTTTAACGCGTTATTAACGGCGTTAACGCAAACCCATTTTAACGGCATACATTTTTTTATCACGAGATTAACGCCTAGCACACTTTGTAGTTTTTTTCACATGCTGTTGCAACAACTAGTAACGTTAGAAAAACTACAACACCACACCGGATCTAGCTAGATCGGAAACAAAACAACAGGCACGCCGCACACACTTGTTTAAGAGTGGCAGACGTTACGTTTTGAGTGGATGGCGAGTGCCAGACGCCGAAATGGAAGGATTCCTTGTTGTCTGAAAATGTCAACAGCCTTGTCTGTTTGAGTAACAGGCTCAAAGCAAAGAAGTAGTAGGCTTACCTTTTATTGGTAACCGTTACTGTTCATTCTTTCTGAAATAAGAGGCTGGGTTGAGCCTCTGGTAAATAAAGAGCAGTAGCCTGACTGCTATGTTCAAAGCAAACTTGAGAAAAGTATTAAGCCATGGTTTAACTGCACTATAGACTGAGTCCTAGTTTACCTTACATGTGCACTTTGTAATTTTATTTTGTATCGCCCTGTTTTGATCCCTTAAAAAGGGCTGTTGAAGGGGCTGTTTGTGTGACGAAGTATTTTTTTCACCCTTTTGGACAGTGTTACATTGTGTGAGAGATTATTTGCACCAAGTAAGAATGTTAGTGTGAAATTGAACACTACAGTATATGCCAATGTTGTTTTCAATAAAAACAACATTGGCATATACTGTAAAAGCAAGCTGCACAAAGCAAGCTGATCCACTTTTCCATGTTGATAAGAGCATTAAAATGAGAAAAAATAATGGGACAAAAAGAAACCAAGGGATATTTAGAATAGATAAAAATGTGTGATTAATTGCGATTAAATATTTTAATCGTTTGACAGCACTCATTTTTATATATAGTCATCTGTTTAAATTCTATTAAGGCTTAAAGTTATGCATATTATTATATTATATCTATATATTAGGACATGGCCACTTTGAGTGACAGGTGGGTGCCTTCACAGGCAGCTGTTTTCAGTAACTAGGTTTCATCTGGCCCGCTTCAGCTCCATTTTTGGATTAGCCACATCAGCACTGCCAAAATGGCAACGGCCAGAGCTGACAAGGACTATTTACATTTTTAATTATACATGGGTGATATAAAAAAAAAAAATTGTTTCAAGTCAGGATACATCACTGGAAAAACAGGGGCCTGAAGCATAAAATTATATATAATAATCTTTCAGACCCATTGTCTATGTGATTTCTTAATGCAAATGAGAGGTTATAAGGTATGGAACTAAGAAACAAAGAAACTGCACAATGGAAGCCATATACCCCTGGGAGCAACTGAAAAACACTGTTGCTAAGTTTTCAAGCAACACTTCACTTTTAGAAAGACTTTTTTAAATCTATAAGCCATATCAATAGTATATATCAGTCAATGAAGGCAGTATGAAGTAGTGACCACAGTAACATCAAGCAGACAGTATTCCAATACTTCTCTCAAGGCTCAAGGAAAACAGTAGGTGCCTCTATATGAAACTGTCAGAGAAAACAGATACAGACAAACAATTCTCGAGGTAAACTATAAAAACTCGGATTTTCAAATGGGATTTCTGATTTTTGTTTCTTCCAACATGTCACATTTATCTTCCAAAAAGGTACTCACACCCATATACCCACACACCGTCCAGTCACTGCACTGAAGGCAGAAATCAATTTTCATTGAGGGCTAACTGATTGTAATTGCACACTATAATTAGAAGGTAAATTACCAGAATTTAGAGGGAAACAGCAGAAAAGATTTTATATGTCACTGCTTTATCGCGGAGCTGCTAAATTTAAATCTCCATATTTAATCTAACAATGAACAGAGGCACTTCTTTCAACTTTTTGACGGGTGCAATACATAATTATATTAAAAGAGACTGGATGACTGTGAGCAGAAGCACTTATAAATGTTAGTGAATTGCTGAGGAAATGTGGAATTAAAGGAAATAAAATAGATGGTGACTCCTGAATTCTTATAAAAACTCATCTGTGGTAACATGAGCCTTTGCTGGGATGGACCGCATACAAGTATAAGACTTTTTACTGGGCCTTATTGATTTGGTTCTACACCAGTGAGGCCTGCAATGCTGGCTAATGCTATTGACGAGCCATCAGTCTTGTCCAGAAGTGTGGAGGCATGCAGCTCTTTTTCCAAGACCAACCAAGGAAGGAGAGAGGAAGAGGAGAAAAGAAAGAGAGGGGAAAAACATCAATGGACAGTGATGGAGAGTGGGGAGGAGGGCGAAGATGCAAGCACAGCAGACAGACTCAGACCCCTGTCCATGGTTTGGGAACACTAAATTAGAAAAAAGACAAAAGGGATGAGAGAGGGAGAAACTGTAAACAGCCGCATCGATCCAACTAGTGTTGGGCAAATCAAACCATTACAGCCAGTCTCATGCCCCGGAGTTGAGGGAGATAGTGTGAATATCTATACACTTCCCTAGTGAAGAGAAAAGTTTGCACCAGCACACACTGGATCTCTTTTAGAATTGTTGGACTTACTAACTCTTTAGTCTTCTTCACCCGCT